CCGACCTATCTACTTGTTTGTACATTTCATTTGATTTATTATCGCTTCGGTAAACACCTTTGAATAGATAAGGCTCTTCAATTGTCTCGCTCAATAGAAAGGTACACAAAAGAATGACCGTGTTTTCTAAAGCACGTTTGAGATAAAATCTCGTTCACATGACACGAAATTTGCATTACAAGCATACAAGGTCTCGTACACGCCAGCAAGCATTGTGAGACTACAAAATGGCGGTGCCCTGTCGCCGAATGTAAACAAACCGCGCGATTGCATAAACGCTTATCTATGGCATGGAACACCAAAATCCGATAAATAATTTTAAAAAATGTGTTTCTCCAGAAGAAAACCGGAGGTTCTCAGGATTTTTTAGAAATATCCGGAAGATTTTCATCATTATTGTCCCAACATCAAGCCAACACAAATTTATTATTTACCAACATAGAATCAGCATTCCCAGCATAATATTACGTATGTATGTAAAACCAGTAAGTATTTTGTACTAACACAAAACTAGCATCAATTTATCTTGTATCTACAAGAAAAAATCACCCATCTGTTATGATATATACAGAACTAGCAGCAGGCTTTTAAGTGTCTACAAATCTGTTTTGTCCCAACATTCAACCAACACCAATCTATTATGAGTACTGGTGTTGGGACAATAACCAATTATTTTATTACTTCAAAAAACTATTATTAAGAATCATATTATCATCCATTACCCAATATGATACAGCTGAAAAACGAAATTCTCATTACAACAAGGAAGTGGCACTTGTGGGTAACAGTAGCTCTGCACTGAAGCAGTAAGCAGAACTGAACTGTCAGCATAAGGCCTAAGATGCGCTATAAGGTGAAAACTTGAAGCCAATGGCAATATAAACTACTGAAAATCTTGAACTAGCTGAGAGGACTTTAGAAATAAATAAACAAAACAGTATCAGTACTGAGTGAGAGTTTTTAAGCCACAGAGAGCAATCTTCAAAGCAATAAGCTGGTCAGTATTATTCCAAGAAAATTTATATACTTTATTTTATTTATTCAGCACACAATCATGCTTATTGTGATAATTTAAAGTAGATAACTTATAACAGAAGCTTTAACTGTTGTTCAACAATAATCTCTACAGGGCCAGAACCAATTTATTATGTACCAACATGGAATCAGCATCAGTTTGCCTCTATACATAAAATTAACAAGGAAGCGTCACAACCAGTCAACAGTTAGAATCAGTAGAAGCTTATTATGGGTCTACAATGGAGCAATATTCGGTTACTTATCATGAGTAACCTGCATGAGTCTGTAACGTAAAACTATGTGCTGTAAAGTACAACTTTTCTTACAGTTTCTATTTTATTGGTCCCAAAAGTGTAATATGTAGGACATTAAAAAATGTATAACTCACTTTTTGGCTGGCACAGTTTTTTGAAGATTCCAGAGTTTGAGAGTATGATCCTCTGCTGCTGTGATAAGCACTGGTTCAACAGGGTGAAACGTTAGAGCTCGTACTCCATCAAAGTGGCTAAGGTGAAGAAATAACCTATTAGATACACTGAATAAACTTTTGAAACAAAATAAAACATGAAATATGGCTTATTAAGAAAGCCAGATAAATTACAGTATTATCAGAACATTCTATTGTAGTGATTGATATATTTTTTTGTTTTAAAATGCATATCTAAAATCTACATGATTGATTTTTTTGGACACACAAACTCATGAGACTCAACAGGGTTTAAGGAAGAACATCTACTCAAGTAGCAACTGCACTAAGTTCACCAGTCTATTGTAAACCATTTAAAAAAAATTAACTAAAAAAATTTAAAAATTATAAATTTATCAGCTAAGACTGACAAAACTTAAGTAAACTAAAAAACTTAAATTATGTTAACTCAAGTATGTGTAACAGGACAGCCTAGAATCATGTGGTTTTAAGTTAGCTCTACAGGAAACAGTTTGTGGGTTCCCACTGTGATTTATTGCTTTTTAAGCACAGTAGTCTGATAATATTCCATAAAAAATACCATAAAAGTAAAAGAAATGAGATGTGAAAAGGTTACAAGTTAATTTGGTTCTTTCTGATCAACACTGGAATCATTGCTGAGGAAAAATATTATTATTCATTTCATTTCATATTTTTAAACTTTTCGTTGCATTGTAACATTGACAATTTTTCTACAATTAGTGTATGGGTAGAGAAAATAAATGTTTTCCAGAAAAAAAAAAAAAAACTTAACATTAATTTAGGAGGTTCTCAAGGTTATACAAATGAAACATGAAAAGTGTAAGATGAAAAGAAGTATTTTAATTCTTAGCATGAAAATCACCTTTCACTCAGACTGACTCTTTGGAAATTCATTAAATCTTTAGTAGTAAAATTCTTTATTAAAAAATTTAATTTTTTTGTGTGTATAGAAGATTTGTAATGTTTACTAAAAGCTTGCCAAATTTTTGTGAAGATATCTTTAGTAAATTCAGAATCATAGTATACATTATGTGTAGCTTTAAAGATACAGTGGATGATCAATTTGACCAGGTCCATGAACAGAGGGTTAAGCCATGATCTTGAAGCTACTTTTAAACTTACAATAATGGTCACATTTAAGTCTCCACAGCTATTAAACTTTCCAAAACATTTACCTTCGAAGTGTATACTTGGCACTCCATGTTTTTCTGAAAACCTCATTTGCAGCTGAAACCTAAAACAAACAGTAAGTCAGGTATGTGAAAAAAGAATGAAATATATGATGCTGAGTATAAAAATCAAACAGATATTTAAGAGTATAATATTTCAAACAAGGGCTTAAAAATCAATATATCAAAAGATTACACACAAAACCTTGACATCTAAGTTTAAATATCAAAACATATTTTCTGAATACCAATGATGTAGTAGCTGACAAACAATAAAATGTCACATTTCTTCTAGGAAAACTGTTATGTATCATTTATCATCCTACATTTTAAATGGTAAATTTCACAGCACTCTACACATTAACCTTATTGCCCCAGGTACCCTTTACTGCACATAACACAAGGTTTTAGTGTCTTATATTCAAAATTTTATTAAATTACTTCTTGTTTATGTTATACCAATTAGAATAGCATAAATTCTCAGCTAATAATCATATTTTAATAGTATACAAGTTTTAAGTTTATAATTCTAAAAGGAAATATGTAAAAACAAACTGAATTTCCACTACTGTAACACATATGACACATTTTGTCTTTGCACATTCCCCAAGTGATTTACAACTTATAATGGTGCAGATAGCAGTTAAACACTGTTCAAACTGCAGTAAAAAGGGCAATAAAGCAATAAAATTTAATTATAAATAGATGTATAATGTTATGAACCTAGAGCTACTCAGGATAAACAAATGTAGTTTCAGGTTACAATTTGAAGTCATACTAGAAAGAAAAGAAGGTTAATTTAGGTTTATTTCAATTTTTTAGGTGGTTATGAATTGATCAATCCGATTTTGAGAGAGAGAAAATAACATAAACTATAAAGATTTAGTGGAAAAAAAACGTTTGAAATGCATTTAGGAGGTTTTAGGGATTACAAAACGGAAATTTGAGATTTTTGAGATGATGAAAAGCATTTTTAATTTTAACATGAAAATTACTTT